ATTTAGTTTTTATAATTCTTCATTTAATATGTTGTTAAAAAGTGGAGTTTTATTCTGTATGGCTTCTTAAAGTTCTACATTCATGACTATATTTGAATTTTCTATTTTTTTGTATTTTACTTACAGGTATTAATCAATAATTCCTATTTAACCCTATGTACACAGTTGGTGGTCAAAGTGCACATGCCATGACCTTTTACAGAGTGCCATTTAACATAGTGTTATGTATTTGATGTTAGAGTTATTAACTATTCATTTTAACTTACATTGCTGATTTAGTGATTGTTCATAGTAGAGGAGAGTAAATACCAGATACAGTATAGAAGGATACTGAAAAAAACTGTAGATAGGCATTTTGGAGGTTCTAGAGGTTATATAGATGCAATATTCAAATTGTACAAAGGACAAAACTATTTTTTATTCTTCACATGAACATCACCTTGCACTCCAACCTATCAAAGTCTGAGCCAGACTGACTCATCAATTCACAGACATATCTTGAGTAGATATAGTTTTGTAATACATCTGCTTTTTGTATACAACAGAGTTTTACATTTTACTGTAAGCTCAGAATTATAGTCAATATTCCTTCTCTGATATTGAGTCAGTCCAGTGGACCGAGCCTGTGCAGATTTGGCTAAGAGGTGTTTAATTGATACAAATGTAAACTCATTTTCAGTAGTTTTCAGGAATGGTAAAAGTATTATCTTTTATTTAGAGAAGGTTTTCTATTTTATCTAAAAGGGTGTTTTGTCTCTTGTTTTGGTCTTCAGCATTTTCTTCAACAACTTAGAATCACATTGAGGTAAAAATAGGTTTCAATTAAACATAAATATTAAGCCAAAGAGAGCCTCAGGTTTCATTACAGAGCACATTAAAAAACCCCAGCTTCAAATGATATAAATACTCCTATTTATTTTTTCTGATCAGCTACATTTAATTTTCTGATGCACCACTAACTTATAGAGTCTCAAAATGCTCTTTATGGTATTACTAAAGTTAAGAGTATTTATTTTAGTTGAGACTGCACTCTTTTAGATTTTATTACTGAATGTACATTTGAACCTAAAGTTACAACATTAGGCTTAGTACAAGATACTTAAGCAACTAATTTAATGTTTGTAATTAGTAGTAGTAGTACTAGGCTGTAGGACACTAAAGATGTTAAATAATAGGTTGAAATAAAAGAGTTGTCACAGGTGTCAGCTATGTAAGAAGGAGAATTTGTTTATTTTAAGAGATGAAATTATTATTATTATTATTTTAATTTAGTACCTGCTGAGAATTTAATGCATTAGTGATTATTTAAATTAGCTATTAATTCGGTATAATAAGAAATATGATGTACATTGTAGCTTTGGTACTGCTAACTAATATCACTATTAGGTAATAGGGGATTTTAGTGTTTGATATATCTACAATGTAATATATAAACTATGAAAGCTTAATATTAGTTAAATATGCAATTGTTGGATAGGTAGTTTTGTAATAGAAAATATAATCTATTAAAACTTCAATATTGTTAGAGGTAGTTTAGGGATAAGTGGGGTGGAAATTTGTAGGGTGTGATTAGTATCAGGATTGGGGTTATGTTTGAACAACTTTGATTGCAACTTTCAGGAGGCTTAGAAAGATAAAGTACCTGCAGAGATTATTTACTTGAGGATAAATTAGAGACAGGTTTTGGGAAAATTGATAAGTATAAGAGGAAAATAGAAGATTAGGAGCAGAAATCAAGAAAGCAAGATAAGGCTTTTCACTCAGTACCTGAGATCATCAGATATGCTGGACATGCAACACACAAAGCCTTGCTCAAAATGCTATTTGTATCAGTTGTTTACAAGTTTTTCTCTTCTACATGGGCTGAAGACTCCACTAATTTTTTTGTGGTTTTAGTAGGACACCTCTTCCCCAGGGAGGTTCATATCTTCCCTTTAAGTCAGTCTTGAGTGCTTGTTGGCTCTCCTGATGGCAAGGCAGCTCTGTTTGGTGAACTTTGTTCTCCAGCATCACACCTCTAGTCTCCTTGTCACAGGTGGCAAGATCAGTGGTGGTATTATATTAATTGACAGTAATCTTATTCCATGTAAAGACCTTCCCATTCAATTTCAGAACCTTCAGACTGGAAATTACCATTGTGAGTTTCATTCATTGATCTTTCCCACCTGCTGAAGTTCATATCTAGATAAAGAAAAATGTTAGCTGTTTGGAAAGTCCCAGGTTTTAGTTCTTCTCTAAGAACTTGCAGCTGGGTGAATATCACATACATGTCCCCCTACATTAGTAGCCAATGACTGACATCTAGGAGAGGACTACTTAATATTAATGACACATTCTTAAATCATGGTTTCCCTTTCAGCATCAAGAGGTTCCCATTATCACTCTTTTAAGTTTTTCATTTTGAAAATGCCTTTTCCAAGTTATGTTGATGTTCAAATATACAATATAAGAGTGAGTACAATAGGAGCAAAGAAAAGCACAATAATCAAAAATACAGAAAACGCTGCAAAAACAAATGCTATATGGTCACAGCAACAAAATTTAAACCTTTTTACCTTACTCTGTAGCATTCTTGGGTGAACTTACTTCTTATAAATAAGAAAATTACCTACTTTCTGAGATAAATTGAATTCTGCCCTAATGAATTAAAGAAAGAGAGACTGGACACAAGACTCATTCTAAAACAAAAACATTTTATTTATCTAAACAAGACACAAACAAACAACACAGCCTGTTCAAGAGATACTCACAAGACAAAAGACAACCATCCTGGATAAAAGTCTGACTATATTCAGAGAATAAACCTGTATGTACTTATTTGAGAAGGATCAAATCTCTCAGAGTTTGTCACCATTGTCACCTGATCATCCAATTAACCAAAACTGAGAAGATAAAAAAACTTTGAGTATTTCTAAAACTCTACAGGGCTGGTTTTACCAAAGAACTCATCAACACAAGTCTAAGGAATTTTCAAGTGCCACCTTCTTTGGGAAAGTATAAAAATACTGAAGGGAAGATATCCCTTGACAATGTGCCTAGTACAAATATAAGGTCACCATACTCCAAATCTGATTATTTGTATGATACAAGTTCAATTTTGATTAACATGAATGTTCACCATTTTAGATTTTTTTTTGTAGCCCATACATGCAAGTTCCACTACATCTTTGTAGCCCAAATATTTATATTATGCTAAATTTTCTTTGTAGCTAATACATCTAAGTTAAACTACTTTCTGATGATGAAAAAACCTTGTCGAAACATTGTACATTTGCTGTTATATTAAACTTATATTAAAGTTTTTCTTCATTACCCATTCAAGCCATCTCCAACCATTAATACTTTCTGAATTTGTTGTTGTGACTAATTATGATTTTCCTGTTGATTTGTATTTCATATGCTTTTAAGAATGTTTTTCATTTTGCTTTTTGTGTTGTAAAAGTTATTGCTAAAGAATTTTATCTTGGTTATAATATTTTTTGTTATAGTTTGCAGCTCTATACCCTGATAATCTTTATAGTACCAGGATCCTCCTCCTAATATTGAGTTGCACTGTCATTTATAGAATAAAAAGTAACCTGGAGTTAACATGGTATAAAATTTGTTTTTTATGAAACAGTTTTACACTTTGTGAATTGCTGCATTCAAATTTTGGAAGAATCTTTTTCCATCAGAGTGGAAATGCAGAATTTTGAAATGGACATAATTGACAGCGGTGTTCAAGTACATTCTGAGTGTTATTTGTTCTTCTAAAAGGACACAACACTTACAACATTTTCAGCAACATGATGCTCTTGGTGGCTCAGCATTAAGTCTGAGGACTTATAATGCTAAAAATTGGGTTTTGATACCTGCAGTGAGCACAGCACAGATAGCCCATTGTATAGCTTTGTGCTTAACATAAACAAACAAATCTACAACATAACACCATTTTCATTGACTTGCACTGTTGGAACAGTACGAAGGATCAAATGCCTCATTTTTTCTCCAAACTTTTACTCAACCATTTGGCAAAAAAAAAAGAAAAATGTTTCCAGTCACTTGTCTACAGTATGTAATTGAAGCACCACTGAAGCTATGTTTTCTTGTTTGCAGAATTTGGACTTATCATTTACTGCTATGTGAGTATCTATGATATGGTTAAAGCACAGTCACATATTTTTTGTATCTTACAAGCTTCTCAAAGTTTTTTCAGTTAGTCATTCACCAATATTTGGTAACACAGATTTTATTTGTGACAGATGTATTTTACTTTAAATTTCCTTTACTGATAGATGATAACAGTTTTTGTTCATGGCAGATGTATTTTGTTTCAATAGTCATTACTGATGACAGATGTCTTTCATAATGAGGCTTTGCATCATGGGCATTATATATCTGAAAATCAGGTCATCTTCACTTTTATTCATTGTTTGGAAGGCTAAACTTAATGTGATTACAACTCTGCTCTTATAAGGCTCGAGCAATTACCTGATACACTGTGATCAGTTTGTTTTGCATGTGCAAATAAGTAGCATTTACATTGCTAGTATATAAGTTTAGGGCTTTCAATCCCACTAAAATGACTAGCAGTGTAGCTTCTAAAGCTAAATCTCTGTCCTGAAGACCTATTAATTTTTGGTGGATTCTGTGAATTGTATATGCAACTTTTTATTTTGTATTCACCTATGTTAAATTGTAAGTTGTCAATAATTACTACGTTATATTAAGCTCAGAAAACTTAACCACTGAAAATGCAAATCAACTGCACCGAGTTACTGTATACTGTACCCATAGATTGGATATTTCAGATGTCACACATTTGCATTAATCCCAGTTATGATAACATTTAAAGACTACTGGCTGACTGTATCAGTGCTATGTTTAAGTTACAGTTTTGTTTTTGTAGGATTTATTTTAAATCAAGGACTCTGTTTTATGTAATATCAACAATTAATGAAGCAGATTTTATTTATTAAAAGCTTTTTTCAAAACTATTTTGTTTTCAATTTCTTTATTAGAGTTCATCAAGCTTACCTGATTATGTGCAGTTCAGAAGTTTACCAGGAACTCCTCTAAAAGATATATTTACTGCTGTTAGTGATGATTTGTTGGAACTGGTTCACAGACTTTTAGCACTCAATCCTCTGAACCGATGTTCATGTACAGAAGTAAGTGTAGAAAAGTATTCTTCTAATATTTGGTATGGAAAGAAGAAATGTTTATTTTACTTGAAACCAGTGGTGTAGAAAGGAGTTACAAAGTGGGGGTGCTTGGCTAGACATGCAGATTTTACAATGAGAGAATGAAAGTATAAGGAGCTGCTAAAAAGCAGCTCCTGTGTTGCCAAAGATAGCTCAATCTAGGGGACATTGGGGGGATGCCCCCATAAAAGTAATATGATAATATATTTTACAGTTGCTATATAACTCAAATATGTAAAAGTGGAAGTGCAACAGCACCACTGCTTCTGATGCTTCTGCTTGTAATAAATCTCATCAAAAGTTCAAATGCAGTATACTTATTGACATTATTTGTAGACATAAATAACTTTCACTTAATTATCATTGTTGCATTGTCAAGCAATATCAGATTATTGATCCTGAAAATTAATTATTGCTGTCTTGTTATGAAAACTGGTAATATGAAATACTTGTCATACAATATATTAGGTCTTTAAGAAATTAATGTCGTGTTTTGGAACACTTTCATTACCCATCCCCCAAAAAACGAACATCACATATAATAGTTAAATGAACCACCTAAACATCATGTTAGTGTAGCCTATATAATGTGTAAAGTTAGTATACTCTAATCCCTTATAGTGATGGTACACGACGAGACACACAATTGACATTTTCTGTGAAATGAATGTGTTCTTTCAGAAACACTACTCACCTCTCAATAGAAGTAAATAACTATTACCTTTCACATCTTCCAAGAAGATATTTGAGCATTCCACAAATCTTGAATAAAACTCTTATCTCTACATGTATTAATGTGTATCATGCCAGCCTATGATGTAATCATCATTAGATTATAGTCATCCACCAATAGGAGGACAACACATTCCTCCATGTGAAGTAAATGTGTGAGCACAAGTGTTTCAACAAAGGCTTATTCTTTTCCTTGGCATTGCTTTGTTCAGGTGTTTTTTAAGAATCAGTGCAATTTTTACATTTATTGTTTTAAATGTTCATTGCCCTTTAAAGTGTAATCTTCCTTTCCTTTATTTTCTTGATTGTGAGAAAGAAAGCTACCAAAGTTTGAAACATTTCAGTTAGGACTTTGATTCAAATTATCTTCAAACTTATTTTTAATTTTACTCCATTTTATAAGTTTAGGATATGTATTCTAGCATCTCTAGTGAGGTTTCTTTATCAGTACTACTTCCTGTTGTTTTAACCTAGTGTACAAGTTTTGTTAAGTACTCTTCACTTTTGTCATCATACCAGTAATCTAGGCCTGTGTACCATAGACGTAACAAGCCCACTTTACAAAGAAAAAAAAACATCAGACACTTTTGTGGATCATCTCTAGGGGTTCTGCCACACTTCAGTAGAAATCCTTCACTACTGTAATAGTGACTGGAGGCACTCTTAGCAGTTGGTGATGGTACTGTCATGGTAGATGGTTGTTTACAATCTGATCTTGGTTCCAGGATTCTTAATTTCCAGCTTTTATTGCTTCAATATAATTCACCCAGTTGTAACTAACTGCTTTTATGTCTGTTTTTGCCTCTGGTTATCTCTCTCTTCCCAAAGAGGGTCAGGTTATACCATCTTCATCCTTTGCTGCTTAGATGACACAGTTATGTGTCTTTTGTTGTTTTTTTCTCCATTTGTTGTTTTTTAGCTGAATCTTGGGCTACCCTGTCGCATGAGTTTCATTCATTTGATTTTCTTTTAGTTTGGGAATCTCCACTTTTCCTTCCTTTTTTTTTCTCTTTTACTCTACATCTTGTCTTCATCGCTAACTTACTGAACATCTTCACTATCTTCCCATGCTTTACCTTCTTTTAGAGGCTTTACTTTATCACTATGTCAGCTTTATTGGGGAATTTGCACATACCTTTTTATCACCTCTCCCTTGATTTTTCTTTCACTGTGTCCCAGTTAACTTTGTTTCTGGGATTTTCTTCATTAGGTTGCCTTACTTTCTGACATTTGCCTCTTTTATGGACCACTGTGTTTTATCTTTTCAATATGATGAGGTGAGGTGTTTTTTTTTGGGGGGGGGGGGGTGTTTCTTGTACTTTGGAATCTGGAGCTGATGCAGCTTGTGTCAATAAACATCTCTTTTTTTTTTTATTGGACCAGAAGGCCCCAACGGGTTTCTCATCCTGTAAAACCTTGTGAAGTTGCCTCTTCTTCTTTTCATAGTGCTCTTAATACTATATGATGTCCCTCCTCTTTGTGGGTTGGCCATCAAGAGTTTCAAAAGCAACTTGTTTCTGGAGCCACCCCTTGGCTTCAATCTAGTTGATGCTCAACTCTCCCACTTTTTTGTACCTGTAGACTTTGCTGCAGACCACTGGATTACACTTTTTCAGGGGTTTTCCCCATCCTTCCACTTTCCATGTTACTTGATTAGGACACCATGGAACAGTTCCTCAACACTACTCTGTGTTATCCATCTTTTTGTCATTCCCACGAAGATGGGATATTGATGACCTGTCATAGGTCTGTCCTATTTGAACCAACTTTAGTCATTCCACAGCTCAAAATAGATGGTTTTCCCATTCTGAGGTGGGTACTCCCCCAGGCCGTGAATGAACTAGATTGATGTCTCAGATATTTTCTCCACATGACTATTTGACTGCCTGCCTTTTGGATTGGGTAGAAGTCCTTCAGTGATAAGTTTACAGACTTACAAAACTGAAATCTGTGTTTGATTCCCTGCTGTGGACAGAGTGAATATAGCAACTTGTGAAGCTATGTGCTACAAGAGACAAACAAGCTTTGAGTTTTCAAACTTTGTGCACAATTTCTAGTTTAATGCTTGGAGGTTATATTCTTTAGGCATGCATTTCTACTAATGTATGGATGTTTGACCTCCATTTGCACCATTCAACATGGTATCCACTGTTGAGACCTCCCTTCTCCTTTGATGATCATCTCATATGGGTAGGCTTGTTTAGCTGTCCAGTTCAATCTTGATCCCCTCCCAGTATCTCATTCTCAATTTGTATGTGAGGGCAGGCTCAACTTTCTTCTTTACGTTTTTGAAATATGGAGCTTTTGCTACCAAAGCTTTCATGTTCCCTAATTTTCTTGCATAATAAGATTTGTCTCTTTTTGGGGATTCCCTCTTCACATGAGTTCCTCTTAGATGTGCCCATATGCCCTTTAACTCTCTCGCTATAGAATTGGGTGAGTTTGTGACCCTAAATTGACCTTTATAGTTTCCATATTAGAACTTTTAATATGTTTTGTGTATCTTCAAGAAATTGTGCAAGCTTCTGATATGGTACTTACCTCCTCTCAGAAGATTAGTTATTCTCTATCAATGCTGCTCTGTATATGCAAACTTTTTCTTTATGCATGCCACAAGGCTTCTGCTACCCCCTGTTAGAATTACTGTATTCGGACATGTCTCTCATGTAAATCATCATGCGTCTTCTCTTAACCAATAGTAGCATGATATGCACATGTGACGCGTGTAATTCCCATTACACTAATCTACTTAACCTTCACTTCTTGTTTGGCAGCATTTGAATTAAGACTTACTCTTTTGTGTGCTTGGTGCTTCCAGTGTGATATTTTTTTTTTCATGCAAAATGGTTCCTTTTTGACTTTATTTTCTTTTATACCAGTTCATTCTTATCAATATATTTCTGCACTCGAAATTTTGTGATCCTTTCCTTGTGCTATGAATTCCAAAGTTTACTTTACCACTTTGGGAGTCACACTAGTAACCAGTGTTTTCTTTCAGGCCTCAGGAGTGGGCGACCCAACGGTGGTTCTCTGTTTTTACACGTTGGAAGATTGAATACCACATGGGTCAACCTTTGTCCCCAGACATTGCCCAGGCTCCTCCTGAGTTGGCTGAACTTGTTCAGCATGACGAGGACTTTGATTGTCTTTTCCTGCCTTCAGAGTTTGCTGTTCTTTCCCATTTGCGGCCTAATTCAGTACTTACAGATTATGTGTCTCAGGTTTATGATATTTTATCCCTTTCCCCTATCTCTTACTCACCTCGTCCTTTCTTGTTACATGAACAAGCTTCCCAGCCATTTTTGGTTTTCCTCCCACTCTTGTTATTTGGGTACATGTGGATCAATTTGTCTTAAGTGAGGGGATCAGCATGTCACACCCCCAGAGGACTTGTGATCAGTTCACCCTTTTTTACCATCGTGCAGACTATCCATTTTCAGACCAGCAGTTGTTAGGTTCATTGTTATTTATTTGGGAGGCAGCTCCAGAATCAAATGTTAGTCTTGCCCATGCCCAATATTCTTGCCTAAATTTTACCCTAACCAACTTCTTATAATATCTATCTTCCATACATCTCCTATCAGAGGCTCTCCACAGAAATCCTGAGGGGTTTTCTGCAGATACCCTTACACTTCTCTCCTCCACTTTAGCCTGCATTTTGTCTTTGGCTCTAGTGTTACATACATGGTTTCTTTGTTGGTGGGTCAAATCACCCTAAACATATCTTGTACATGTGAGAGCCCTTCAGTGGGCAATTCATGAACAATGGAACCTTGCTCGGGATCCTCTTTCCACCCCATTTCTCTTCCTACTTCCCTGCAAGACAATCTGCAATAGTGGCTGGACAAAGCCCATATGTCGGCAGGCATGCTGCTTCCTCCCTTATGTCCAGATCTACATCTTTTCATGAACACATCCCTTCAGGGATGGGGGACATGGGTCAATCACTAGGAAGCTTTGAGCCATTGGTCTGCGGACAAAACCGTCATCCATTTCAATGTTCTCGAACTTCTAGCATTACATTGAGCATTGCATCACTTCCTTCTTTTCGCCCATCATTGTCTGGTAATGGTTCATTCAGACAATTCTACAGTGGTGGCACATATCAATCACCAAGGGGGCACCCAGTCCAGAGATCTGTGTTTTTGGACATTAGATCTATTATACTAGGCCCATGCACATCACATTCCCCGTATAGCATGTCATGTGCTTGGTACTTTCAATCTAGTCGCAGA